GTACACAAATCTAGATTAATTAATTCAATTAACATATCGCCAGTATGAAGATAATTACTATAATAACTAGAAGCGTTTAATGAATAACGTAAGGCTTTTTGGACTAAAATTGAGGAACTAGATTTGCCACAAACTCACAGACAAAATTCATTGTGTAAAAATAATGATTAAATGCTTGTTAAAAATTTAGCATTGTATGTTTCAAGAAAAACAAAACATTGGATAAGAAACGGAGACATTTTTATAATTGCCTTTGGCCTAGATTTAGCGTTTTGTTACACTTTCCCCGCGGTTGTTCTATGTACCGGGCCAATGGTGACAACCTTCAACAACTGGGTTATACTTCTGTAGCTCTGCGATACACCAAGTCATTATGTTGACTGGTGATACACCTCGGTCCACTGGTGATACACTTGGTCAATAGGTTGACTGGTGATACACCTCGGTCGACTGGTGATACACTTGGTCAATAGGTCGACTGGTGATACACCTCGTCAGTAGGTTGACTGGTGATACACCTCGGTCAGTAGATTGACTGGTGATACACCTCGGTTGACTGGCGATACACCTCGGTTGACTGGTGATACACCTCGGTTGACTGGTGATACACTTGGTCAATAGGTCGACTGGTGATTCACTTGGTCAGTAGGTCGACTGGTGATACACCTCGGTTGACTGGTGATACACCTGGTCAGAAGGTTGACTGGTGATACACCTTGTCAGTAGGTTGACTGGTGATACACCTGGTCAGTAGGTTGACTGGTGATACACCTTGTCAGTAGGTTGACTGGTGATACACCTGGTCAGTAGGTTGACTGGTGATACACCTCGGTTGACTGGTGATACACCTGGTCAGTAGGTTGACTGGTGATACACCTGGTCAGTAGGTTGACTGGTGATACACCTGGTCAGTAGGTTGACTGGTGATACACCTGGTCAGTAGGTTGACTGGTGATACACCTCGGTGGACTGGTGATACACCTCAGTTGACTGGTGATACACCTGGTTAGTAGGTTGACTGGCGATACACCTGGTCAGTAGGTTGACTGGTGATACACCTGGTCAGTAGGTTGACTGGTGATACACCTGGTCAGTAGGTTGACTGGTGATACACCTTGTTAGTAGGTTGACTGGTGATACACCTGGTCAATAGGTCGACTGGTGATACACCTGGTCAGTAGGTTGACTGGTGATACACCTGGTCAGTAGGTTGACTGGTGATACACCTGGTCAGTAGGTTGACTGGTGATACACCTCGGTTGACTGGTGATACACCTCGGTTGACTGGTGATACACCTGGTCAGTAGGTTGACTGGTGATACACCTGGTCAGTAGGTTGACTGGTGATACACCTCGGTTGACTGGGGATACACCTGGTCAGTAGGTTGACTGGTGATACACCTGGTCAGTAGGTTGACTGGTGATACACCTGGTCAGTAGGTTGACTGGTGATACACCTCGGTTGACTGGGGATACACCTGGTCAGTAGGTTGACTGGTGATACACCTGGTCAGTAGGTTGACTGGTGATACTCCTGGTCAGTAGGTTGACTGGTGATACACCTGGTCAGTAGGTTGACTGGTGATACACCTCGGTTGACTGGTGATACACCTCGGTTGACTGGTGATACACCTCGGTTGACTGGTGATACACCTCGGTTGACTGGTGATACACCTGGTCAGTAGGTTGACTGGTGATACACCTCGGTTGACACCTGGTCAGTAGGTTGACTGGTTATTCACCTGGTCAGTAGGTTGACTGGTGATACACCTGGTCAGTAGGTTGACTGGTGATACACCTGGTAAGTAGGTTGACTGGTGATACACCTCGTCAGTAGGTTGACCTCTGGCGTAACAACCATTTAGCGCCGCTTATCTGGATTGAACCGACCTTGACATTGGCTGTGATCTCAACTCTTATCTTGTCCAAAAATAGAACAGCTTATGTCAATACAATGTGTGGTTGGTTTCATTGACTGCCATGATTTATTGGCTAATTCAGCCTTGGCCTTTTGATCACATTTAGATCACATTTAGATCACATTTAGATCACATTTAGATCACATTTAGATCACATTTAGATCACATTTAGATTTTAGATCACATTTAGATCATATTTAGATCACATTTAGATCACAGTTAGATCACAGTTAGATCACATTTAGATCACAATAAGATCACAATAAGATCACATTTAGATCACATTTAGATCACATTTAGATCACATTTAGATCACATTTAGATCACAATAAGATCACATTTAGATCACATTTAGATCACAATTAGATCACATTTAGATCACATTTAGATCACAATAAGATCACATTTAGATCACATACTGCCGTCAGATCATAGACTTGGACCACAGACTTAAATGACTCCATATAGACATTTGTCTCTGGTACGGGGGCCACTTGCACGGAAAATGGAGTGCGGACACTGGTTAAAGCAGAGGCGCAGCGAGGGGGGGGGGGGCGTGCGGACCGCACCTGGTTACACCATTTAGGGGGTGACACCAAGGCAAAAAATAGCAAAATATATAGAGAAAACTGATAATTCCACCTAATTAAGTGATTAATTCGAGTGTTAAATATTGTTTTAAGAGGTGCAAATCGAAAGTTTGAGGGGGAGGTGCAAATTGAAAATTGAAAGTTTGCCCCCGGGAAGGGTCGTTATGCCCCTGGGGGGGGGGGGGGTGACACCATTACGTGCCGCAACGGGTGACACCCGACCTCGCTACGTCACTGGGTTAAAGTGTTTTTTAGACATAAATAAAATCTTTTTTTAAATTTCGCTCCTTAGGATAGGGGGGGGGGGGTGGAAAGAAAAGTGGGGGGAACTACCCCACTCCCCATTAGAAATGCCTGAAAGAAACACTGCTATAGATTAAAGTCTACAGTTAGACCACAGCCTTTTTTTTTACTGCAACAAAAGCATTAGAAAGTTGACCAACGATAAAGTTAGATTTAGCACTGGTATACGTGAGGCATAGAAAGTTATGATGGCAAGATAAAAAAAAATCGTTAATTACATCTTCTAAATACCACCACGAACAACGTTTTGAGCTAACTAACAATTAACTAATTACATGTTATTATGAAAAACTGACATTCGGTTTGACAAAAATGTACCAAGCGTGACATGATTATCTAGACCGATGGATTAACGTGACTATAGCATTAATGTGACCGATGGATTAACGTGACTATAGCATTAACGTGACCGATGGATTAACGTGACCATAGGATTATCGTGACTGATGGATTAACGTGACAATCGCATTAAGGAGACCAATGGATTAACGTAACAATCGCATTAAGGTGACCGATTAAATAACCTGCCCATCGGATTATCGTGACCGATGGATTAACCTGACCATAGGATTAACGTGACCGATGGATTAACGTGACAATCGCATAACCGTGACCGATGGATAAACCTGATCATCAGTTTAATCTGATCATCCAAGCACATCCTACAATACTTCACCTTCTAGATCTCCAGGAAGTCAAAACTATCATACATAACCGAGTAAACTCCCCTGACCCGTGTGTTGGTATGACAACAGTAAACAACCACTTCAGATTTGATTCGGTCCTAATGTTCTCGACACTTTGTACTTTTATGACGGCACGAACCGATTTTTAGACAGTCCCACCACTGCTGGGTGCCGCTATTATGTCATGTTCCTACATTAGTTCTAGATCGTGGAGTACATTACAAAAGTACTGAGCACACCTCTCTCAGCACAGTGTTTAATGCAGTGTTTAGCCAAACTGTGTTTAACGTGGTGTTTAGCCAAACAGTGTTTAACGTGGTGTTTGTTGTTGGTATTGGGTATCAATTTTAACATGGATTGGTTTGTTTCAAACACGACTTACAGCCATACAGCAAACACGACTTACAGCCATACAGCAAACACGACTTACAGCCATACAGCAAACACGACTTACAGCCATACAGCAAACACGACTTACAGCCATATAGCAAACAGCTATTTCGACTAGTTATCAAGCTGTCAACCTTTCTGACTAGATATAAAGCTGTCGGCTGTTCTGACTAGATATAAAGCTGTCGGCTCGTCTGACTAGATATAAAGCTGTCGGCTGTTCTGACTAGATATAAAGCTGTCGGCTGTTCTGACTAGATATAAAGCTGTCGGCTGTTCCAAATGATCAACAAAGATCGAGCTGTTTACCCAGGAAACAGCCCACAACAGCTCTGATAAAGGTAAACTAATCTGCTGTCTTCACAAGCTGTTTATACTGTTTATAAGTTTGTTTTCAGTATCGGCCACGCTCTACACCCTATACAAATACAAATTCACCTATAAAGATAAGATGTGTTGTATATAATACAGCCAGCATAATTTAAAACAAGGACAAATAAAAGTATGTACAATTTTAACAGTTGTGAGACAAGTTCATAGGCTGGAACTAGGACTATGGACTTTATTCAGTTATCATATTCTGACTACGGACTTGATCGAGTTACTCGCTAATTCTGTTGAGTGACTATTGCTCTTTATCAATGATATAGAAGTGTACAGTTAGGAGTTCTGTGATTTAGATGCCATGTTGAGGTCTATGTAGAACTACGCTATAGCAAAAACATGTTTTAAATTAAAAAAAAACAAAACAAAAAAAAACTATTAAATGTTATTTCATTATTTTTTTGGGGAATGAAAAACATATCATTAATGTCACTTATCATTTCTTAAAATCTCACCCCTCAAAGAATATTGTCAGCCCCCCCCCCCCCCCACTTTAACCCCTTTTCACGGAACTTGACCAGGCTCCCATCAGGAAACAGCCCAGCTCTGGAAACAAAGTCTGCCACTTGGTACAAAGATCTTGCGTCTGCTGGTGTGGCTACACTCGCACTTACCATGAACTTTAACGCTATGTAGGATAAGTTTTTAAGGGTGTAATCCCGTTTGTAAAGTGGGTCACACGTAGATCAGATTTTGGTGTCGTTCACTCGGCCCAGAAGTGGCGCGAATGTATCAGGTGTGAACGTACCTTAAGTTCAACCATGGATGTGTCTTTAGCAGGAGGTGCTGTTGTTTAAGTTTTTGGACAGGTGCTGCTGTTGTCTGAACTGTTGGGCACATGCTGTTCTAACGAGCAGTTTTAAATGCTGTGCTGTATGCTGTTTACAGGTTGTGCTGTTTTATAAGCTGTTTAACAGACTGTGCTGTTCTTGACCTGTTGTGTGCTGTATTCTCAGCTGTTTGACAGGCTGTGCTGTTGCCTATTTACCTCGGCTGTGACTTCTGGCACGGTGCTGTTGATGCTCACTCTTGCACCGTGGTGTGTGTCAGTGGTGTGAGTTAGATGCACGTGCAGTCGAGAGGCTGTTGTTAATTATAAAACAGTTTTGGCACAATTTTTTTCCTGTTTTCAAACGTTCGTGAGTGGAATATGATCAAAATGTCATCAGATTTGGATGGATAAAAACTTTTATCAACACGTCTGGATGTGATTCTCTGGAGGTAGGAAAACTTGTTCGTTGTGACAAACGTGACGGTGTGTGACGTCAACAGATTTGTGACAATCGTGACGACGTGTGACGTCAACAGGTTTGTGACAAACGTGACGATGTGTGACGAATTAAGCGTAAGCAACAGATGAGAGGAAATGTAGACATTTAATATGTAGAGGATTTGAAAAATTATTTTGAAAGGATTATCATGTATTTGATATGGATATTGTTTTTTTTTAAATTTCCGTAACAAACTTGTTTACAACTAAAACCACAATAATTGTGATACGCAGAAGCAGGCTGACTGCGAGCGTATCATGTGACTGCTATTGTTGATTCAGATCTAGTGCGTGACCTGGATCGTCTGCACCCACGTCACTCTACCTGTGCCTGCATGTTACAGGTGGAAGGGGGGAATCTATAGAAAATCTCTTTTACCATTGGCACCGCTCACCTCTCAGGATAAACTACCTGTTACAGTTTGTACTGGTAACCTGTCAATCAGCTTGTAACAGTGCTCGAAGTACTACCGGCATTTCAAACTACCTGTTGTATGTGACACTGCTCAACTTTCAAACTACCTGTTATTTGTGACACTGCTCAACTTTCAAACTACCTGTTATATGTGACTCTGCTCACCTTTCAAATTACCTGTTTCACCTTTCAAATTACCTTTTATATATGATACTGCTCACCTTTCAAACTATCTGTTATATGTGATACTGCTCACCTGTTATATGTGACACTGCTCACCTTTTAAACTACCTGTTATATGTGACACTGCTCACCTTTCAAACAACTTTTTATTGTGTATTCGATATTATACCACGTGATCTGTCGGTGTCACGACCTTGACCCAAGTGGTTCGTGTAGCCTGACCCTACTATTTAGACGGAGACACTTCGGGAAGCTAATGGTCCAATTACCAGTTCACGCTCCAGTTTTTTAGACCTAATTAACCTATTTCAATTAAAATAAATCTGTGCACCAAGCCGGTGGTTTTTGACACTCGTCTTGACTACAAAGTTTGCTTTTTACCCGATCAACATAATGTTGCTTTACTCCCTTGTAAATATTAGTCTACATGAGCATGCTCTGGTAACTTGTTTGTTTTAAAAGAAATATGAAAATTCAATGTAAACAAAACTCACGTGGGTGACCTAGTGATTGAAGCTACCTAAGTTGTCTACCTTTTTTGCATTGAGTTTTAGTCATCTTAAATACGTTTTTCAATACCTAATGAAACTAAAAAATTAGATATTTTTGTGTTGTCAGCTGAAATGCGCTAATCTAGAAAGACGGACAGATATAGTGACCTAAAATGAAACTTGTAAAAAACTAAGTACAAGTAGGTTATAGTTGTTTGAGCAGTTGTTAGATTAATGGACATTTTTTATCCTTGTCTGTAGTCGCTAGTAGGTCGTTTTAACTAGGTCGTGACCATATGATTGTATGTGGGATAAGCTGGGTGGTCGGGTGGGTAGTAGACCTGTGTAGTGGGGCGGTTAGATGGGTTGGCAACTCCCCCTTTTTTTACCAGTAATTGACACCCCCCTGCGTTCACCAGAAGTAGGCACCCCCCTTACGTTAACCTAAATTGGCACCCTAGCATCCCCCACTTTACGTTAACCTAAATTGGCACTCTGGACCCCCCCCCCATATGTTAACCTAAATTGGCACCCTAGCACCCCCCCTTACGATAACCTAAATTGGCACCCTAGCACCCCCTTATGTTAACCTAAATTGGCACTCTGGACCCCCTCTATGTTAACCTAAATTGGCACCCTAGCACCCCCTTTACGTTAACCTAAATTGGCACCCTGACACCCCCAGTGTGCGTGGTGTCCCATATCTTGGTGTTTGCACTCCCCGCCCTAGCGGTTTCTGAACCCTTCACCCTAGTCCGGTCACGTGGTTTCACTGATAAGATAACATCAGTGCTCTACTTTCATTTGTGACGCAAGAGAGAGGGTGGTTGTTGTCTGGTACATCACATACTGCTGATGGTTGGTTTATGTTGTGTTTATATTGCTTTAAATTGTATGCGTGGACGACTGTGTTACAGAATGTTGCAACACAAAAACACTGGCATTTATTTTGTAGCAGGAGAAAGACGACATTATAGATCAGCCGTTCCTAAACTTTTTGGAGGTACCGAACCCCACCAGTTTCTTACGCCCATTCACTAAACCCTTCTGAATAGTTTTATCGTCCCCACTGACAAAATCCGATCGTGAATCATATGAGTCGGGTGTGTCTCTTGATCTTCACCGAACCTATGAAACTGACTCAACGAACCACTATAAAACTGAATCTCGGGTTCGATCGAACCCAGGTTGAGAACCACCGGTCTAGATGGTGCCTAAGACCGGATAGGAATGTAGTAGGAACTAGCCGATGTTTTAGATGGTGCCTCGGACTAGTGGTGGATTGCATGAGAGAGTGAGAGAGAGAGAGTGAGAGAGAGGGAGAGAGAGAGCGGGAGGGAGGGAGAGAGAGAGAAATAGAGAGGGAGAGAGATATCTTGACTTGACTTCCGATACACGCTCTTTTTTGATGGGCACCAAATGAGAACTCTACTTCACTTGCCCCATGGACCATCAGGTTCGAAAAGGGAACTTTACTAAATAGGAATATAGTAGTCATTGTCACACTGTTTCGACACGTTAAAGTAATGACGATTTCCTGGAAGTTTAGGCATAGGAATGGTTGGTAGCGACGGTGTCGGCGTGTTGAAAAGGATACTTTTAACTCAAGACATCTTTCAGGAAGACCTATCTAAAGAATAGCGTAATAATGCCAACGCACCGTTACGTGCCCATTAACACTGCACTTTAGAATCATGACACATTTCTGAAATGTTTTTTTTTTGCCTAGTGTGTAAAGTCGAGTAAAATTAAAGCTTTTAACTAGGTTGGACATGGACCAATAGAATCCTACCCGGCGCAGGTCTATCTTAAGACAGATCAGTTTTACAAGGTCAGAACTGACCAGTCTGTCAAGGTCAAAACTCTCGGGTCAATTCTGATCAGCTGGCCTCTTCCTGACCTCTTGACCCCGTTAATCCCTTCACGAACCCCTGGTTGTAATCAATTGTTGACCAATCGTGGCTGAAGAACTGGACAACGGGTTGATAGGATTAGAGGTTGGACAGATTTCAGTTACTATTCCACTACGTGAAGCCCGTAAGCCCAGGTATATCCTGCCAGTACAGTAGATGGGAGTTCTAATTCGTCGTGTGTGAATCGTGTTGTGTGTCGTGGTCTGTGAGGATGTGTTTTTAGGATTATTGTTTTCATGTGTCATGTGTACTGTTTCTACCTTTATGCATAGATATTAATTGTAGTTCTAATTGGTCGGGTGATACAACACCTCACGTGAATTAACATTAAAATACCGACGGTCATAAAATCTGTACGACAAACGCTCTATATTTTCTAAATAAACCGGGAGTGATCTCCCCTAAACTTTCTCGAATTTTCTTATATAAAACAACAGGGGATGACAACTCGGGATATAGATATGATTTTTAATCCATTTTAAATACTTAAACTTTTTAAAATAGGATAAAATCTGGTAGAAAAAAAAAAGAAGTGCACACCAAGAGAACGCCAAATAAAATGTGCACAATAGCGCGGAATATTATTAGTACTTTATAAATTCACATGCGTTTTTTGAGAAATCGGAAATAGCGAAAATTATTACTTCGGGTCAATGGAAATTACTCAAAATTTGACAAAAGGCAGAGAATTAGATCTTTTACTTACGTGTGAAATTTCATTTGTCTATCTGAAATAGTACTCAAGTTATCTGCTTTTGAAAAATTGAAATTAGAAAAAGTTTCACTTCCGTTTACCGGTAATCGCTCAAAAGTTGATACGGATCTACGATTTTGATAAAATACTTATATATGAAATTTCATTACCCTAGCTGTAACGGTACATAAGTTATCTTGTTTACAGACACACACACACACACACACACAAACACACATACACACACAGACATACGGACAAGATTGCAAATCTATGTTTTTCCGACTCAGGTAGCTGTAAAACGTCGAGATTTGCAAAAATATTTTTTTTTGCACGATTACAAGACTTTCTCTATACTTTGTATATACGAGAAAGTAATAAGGAAAAATTTGTTAATTTTTACAAGCTTTTATTTAACTCACTTCCTCGTCAGTCGTCAACCTGTCGTCAGTCTGAAACGCCCGAGCGAAATGGCAGGCAATTCTAACTGACAGATACGGTTCGTAGTTGGTACGTGAGTCAAGACATGAAGACAATGCAACATGACATTAAATTTAACTTAATTGATTGTCTGATTAATTTTTTATGAATTAATTAAAATTTTGTCCAAATTAGCTCATCAAACTATTCCGCGCTATTAGACACGCGTCATCACGTTCAATAAGGCGTCATCACGTTCAATAGGTGCGCAATGGTTTTTAGTCATGTAACTCTATTGTAATTAAAATAAAAAATGTAAAGTACTGAAAATTTCATAAAAAACGTTTTAATAACAAACTTTTATGTAATAATGCACTAAAAAGGAGAAAATAAATTATACACAACTATTTAAATAACTATAAAGAAAAGAGTGGGTCTCTTCCTAAATACTAGTAAAGGTATCCAATAGATATTAAAGTGAACCACGCTTTTCTATATAGTTATTTAAATAGTAGTGTATAATTTATTCTCTCCTTTTTGGTGCATTATTACATAAAAGCTTTTTATTAAAATGTTTTTAATGAAATTTTTTAGTGCATGTAATTGTAATAACTTGTTATATATATATATATATATATATATATATATATATATATATATATATATATATATATATATATATATATATATATATATATATATATATATATATATATATATATATATATACACACGAATGGTTTTGTGCTTTTATTTTACGCCAACTATATTCGCACTTAAAATAATATATTATATCAGTGTATGTGGGGATGGGGTGGTGGGGCGTGGTAGGGGAGGAGGTCAAAGGTTGTAAGCTGAATTTCTAATCAATTCGACAGCTCAGTTTCATTTTAATTTTAAAATCCTGGTATGAGAGACGGGGAAAATGACAGGAATCTTGAATAGACGTTTGTGTTAGTGGTGGTGGGGGGGGGGGATGGCGAATGCCAGGGGAGGGTGGTGGGTCAGGCCCTTTATAAAAAGTAAGACCATATCTCGGCAGCTAGGCAACGTATGAGCCACGGGGAATGTTGTTGTACTCGGGTACCGTCGGCTGTCTGTGGCGTAACGTTGACTTAATCAGCTGGGTTACACGAGCACAATACAACAGTTACAGACCTACAAACCTCGTTACGTTTGGTCTAACCTTGGACAAATCGGTTGAACCAGCACAGTTGTATGCGAAGAGAGGTTCACGTCGAGAGAGGTTCATTACGGTCATAAATCTCTGAGAGATTTTATCTACATGCTCCGCTAAATAAATGTCTGGCACACTGTCCAGAACGGCAATAAAATACGTGCAAGGATTAACACATGTGTGTTTGTGGTGTTTGTGTTTTAATACATTATGTTTGTGTATTTATAACATGTTGGTTAGCAACGTTAGTGACTGTTGATGATTTCCCTTTTGTGTGACCGTCGCTGATCTCCCTTAGTTCAAACAGACAGCCATCTCAGCGATGCAAGATGAAGTTCGATGAGATCCTCGTCCACATTGGAGAGTTCGGCTGCTACCAGAAGAGGGTCTACTTCATCCTATGTCTGCCCGCCATGTTGTGTGGCCTGCAGGTGCTCAGTACCGTCTTCATCATGGCCACGCCTCCACACAGGTATGTGGTTTGTCTCTTTCATCTGATGCTAAAGTTGGTGGGTAAGTTCATGATCTGATGTGTAAGTTGGTGGGTAAGTTCATGATCCGATGCTAAAGTTGGTCGGTAAGTTCATGATCTGATGCTAAAGTTGGTGGGTAAGTTCATGATCTGATGCTAAAGTTGGTGGGTAAGTTCATGATCTGATGTGTAAGTTGGTGGGTAAGTTCATGATCTGATGCTAAAGTTGGTGGATAAGTTCATGATCTGATGCTAAACTTGGTGGGTAAGTTCATGATCCGATACTAAAGTTGGTCGATAAGTTCATGATCTGATTCTAAAGTTGGTGGGTAAGTTCATGATCTGATGCTAAAGTTGGTGGATAAGTTCATGATCTGATGCTAAACTTGGTGGGTAAGTTCATGATCCGATACTAAAGTTGGTCGATAAGTTCATGATCTGATGCTAAAGTTGGTGGGTTAGTTCATGATCTAAAGTTGGTGGGTAAGTTCATGATCTGATGCTAAAGTTGGTGGGTAAGTTCATGATCTGATGCTAAAGTTGGTAAGTTCTTGATCTGATGCTGATGTTGGTGGGTAAGTTCATGATCTGATGCTAAACTTAGTGGGTAAGTTCATGATCTGATGTGTAAGTTGGTGGGTAAGTTCTTGATCTGATGCTAAAGTTGGTGGGTAAGTTCATGATCTGATGTGTAAGTTGGTGGGTAAGTTCATGATCCGATGCTAAAGTTGGTCGGTAAGTTCATGATCTGATGCTAAAGTTGGTGGGTAAGTCCATGATCTGATGCTAAAGTTGGTAGGTAAGTTCATGATCTGATGCTAAAGTTGGTGGGTAAGTCCATGATCTGATGCTAAAGTTGGTGGGTAAGTTCATGTTAAAATGGCGGACTTAGGTCAATAGTATACACAGCTAATGACGAGATTGATTGGCAGTTAAATTCTGCCCCATGGGTTGATGGTTTACATGTCTTCAGCACAGATACTTGGACTAAAGACATGCGGTATTTGCTCTAAAGACGTGTAGTCTCCAGACGCCATTAGGCTCTGGAGTTCCTTGTCCTTAGTATTGAATACGTCATGTCCTAACCTATCGCACATCAAAAATAGATTCAGATGACATCAATCTCAGATGAAAAACACCTATGCCTTCACCTATAGAAAATTCTTCTGTTTTAGCTCGACACAACAACATTACATATTTCTACCTATAGCACCCTAACCCACATTTTCCAGTAGGTCAAGGTCACTACAACAACATTACCGGTTTCGACCTTAAAACTCTAACCCACATTTTTTTCTAGGTGAAGGTCAACACACTTTTATCATTTTAATATATTGTGTTATAACTGAAAGGAGGTTTATATAGCTAAAACATAACATTGCCTCTTGACACCATGTCAATAAAATTGTCCCCACATCACAATGTGTGCACCTCATTTGTCCCCACATCACAATGTGTGCACCTGATTTGTCCCCACATCACAATGTGTGCACCTCGTCTGTCCCCCAAAACACGATGTGTGCACCTCGTTTGTCCCCACATCACAATGTGTGCACCTCAATTGTCCCCACATCACAATGTGTGCACCTCATTTGTCCCCACATCACAATGTGTGCACCTGATTTGTCCCCACATCACAATGTGTGCACCTCGTCTGTCCCCCAAAACACGATGTGTGCACCTCGTTTGTCCCCACATCACAATGTGTGCACCTCATTTGTCCCCACATCACAATGTGTGCGACTGATTTGTCCCCACATCACAATGTGTGCGACTGATTTGTCCCCACATCACAATGTGTACCTCAATTGTCCCCACATCACAATGTGCACCTCGTTTGTCCCCACATCACAATGTGTACCTCGTTTGTCCCCACATCACAATGTGTGCGACTGATTTGTCCCCACATCACAATGTGTACCTCGTTTGTCCCCACATCACAATGTGTGCGACTGATTTGTCCCCACATCACAATGTGTGCGACTGATTTGTCCCCACATCACAATGTGTGCGACTGATTTGTCCCCACATCACAATGTGTACCTCATTTGTCCCCACATCACAACGTGCACCAGATTTGTCCCCACATCACAATGTGTGCACCTCATTTGTCCCCACATCACGATGTCTGCACCTCATTTGTCCCCACATCACAATGTGTGCACCTCATTTGTCCCCACATCACAATGTGTGCACCTCAATTGTCCCCACATCACAATGTGTGCGACTGATTTGTCCCCACATCACAATGTGTACCTCATTTGTCCCCACATCACAACGTGCACCAGATTTGTCCCCACATCACAATGTGCACCCCATTTGTCCCCACATCACAATGTGCACCTCATTTGTCCCCCACATCACGATGTGCACCTCATTTGTCCCCACATCACAACGTGCACCAGATTTGTCCCCACATCACAATGTGTGCACCTGACTTGTCCCCCACATCACGATGTGCACCTCATTTGTCCCCCACATCACGATGTGCACCTCATTTGTCCCCCACATCACGATGTGCACCTCATTTGTCCCCACATCACAACGTGCACCCCATTTGTCCCCACATCACAATGTGCACCTGACTTGTCCCCCACATCACGATGTGCACCTCATTTGTCCCCCACATCACGATGTGCACCTCATTTGTCCCCACATCACAACGTGCACCAGATTTGTCCCCACATCACAATGTGTGCACCTGACTTGTCCCCCACATCACGATGTGCACCTCATTTGTCCCCCACATCACGATGTGCACCTCATTTGTCCCCCACATCACGATGTGCACCTCATTTGTCCCCACATCACAACGTGCACCCCATTTGTCCCCACATCACAATGTGCACCTGACTTGTCCCCCACATCACGATGTGCACCTCATTTGTCCCCCACATCACGATGTGCACCTCATTTGTCCCCACATCACCATGTGCACCTGATTTGTCCCCACATCACAATGTGCACCTCATTTGTCCCCAGATGTAAGCTCCCAGGCTACACCAACGACACCTACGAGGTCCAGGGCCCCCACCATCAGTACCTCATCAACCTCACCATCCCCCCGGGGGAGGACGGTGCTGGACTTTACTCCGAGTGCTACGTCTACTCTGACGTCAACGGCACGGGCCACAACGTGACGTCACAGCGGGGCACGAGCCACTGCTCCGAGTGGGTGTTTGAGAAGACGGAGTTTGACAACACCATCATAGAGGAGGTAAGGGTCACGTGATAGGGTCATAGAGGAGGTAAAGATCACATGATAGGGTCATAGAGGAGGTAAGGGTCACGTGATACAGTATTAGGAGGTAAGTGTCACGGTATAAGGTCATAGAGGAGGTAAGGGTCACGTTGAACGGTCTTAAAGGATTAATGGTTACATGTGTATTAAGTAATTTACATCCCCCCAACACCTTTACAATTATATTTGCTTCCAGTGTTCTTTAGTGTGTCGGGACCCTCCTCTAGGAGTATGACCTTATTTACATCCCCCTCCCTAATGCTGTTCCTTTCTTCCCCCACAGTTTTCCTTCGTGTGTCGTGACACCATCCTCCGCTCTCACAGCAACATGGTGCTGTTTGCTGGTGCCCTGTGTGGCTCGGTCTTCATGGGCATCATAGCTGACATGTAAGTCATGCCCTCACTGGGCATCATCGCTGACATGTAAGTCATGCCCTCACATGGGGCATCATCGCTGACATGTAAGTCATGCCCTCACATGGGCATTATCGCTGACATGTAAGTCATGCCCTCACATGGGCATTATCGCTGACATGTAAGTCATGCCCTCACATGGGCATTATCGCTGACATGTAAGTCATGCCCTCACATGGGCATTATCGCTGACATGTAAGTCATGCCCTTATAAGGGCATCATCGCTGACATGTAAGTCATGCCCTCACATGGGGCATCATCGCTGACATGTAAGTCATGCCCTTATAAGGGCATCATCGCTGACATGTAAGTCATGCCCTCACTGGGGCATCATCGCTGACATGCAAGTCATGCCCTTACATGGGCATCATCGCTGACATGCAAGTCATGCCCTCAAGTGGGCACTTTACGTATATTGAATAGTGTGGGCACTTTACTGTTATAAATGCGACACTGACAATGGGTACTTTACGTATAATAATAACTATAGATGATTCACTTTACTTATTTTGAATAGTGTGGGTACTTTGTTAACCAATGTAGGTACTTCATTAAATTATTATGACCAATATATTCAAACAATGCGTCATTGAAATAAGTCATCTACCCCCACAAGGGTACTTTACTCATATTGACCAATGAAGTAACTTTGTTGAAGTAACTGGTGCACTCACACGAGTACTTGATTGAACCCACACAGCCTTCACACAACCCACACAGACAACCCATACACAACATGTTTTGTTGAACGCAGAACACTTTCTACTTATCCCACATTTGTGTGTGTGTTTGTGTGTGTGTGTGTTATGTGTTCGAGTGCGTTAGGTAGGCCACCATAAATGAGCTCAGATGTAAACTATGTCATGTAGTACATCAAATGTTTGTATAGTGTGTAATAAAACTTTTTCCGGGGAAGTAACTGAATGTGACAATACATCGATCGTTTCCCTTGAAATGTTACGTTTCGAACCTGACGACAAGTGAAGTAGAGTTCACCTGATTCTGTGACCTTGACATATGAAAGGATTTTGTGGTCAGCACTCTGTCCAATCGCTTTTACTTAAAGTGTACACATGTTAATGGCAAAAACAAATCTTGATTTAGTAGAAAATTTATTCATGAGTAGGCAGAAAGAAAACCATCATGTTGTCTATTCTAGAGTGGGCAGGAAGAAAGCCATCATGTTGTCACAATCTATTCTAGAGTAGGTAGGAAGAAAGCCATCATGTTGTCACTATCTATTCTAGAGTGGGCAGGAAGAAAGCCATCATGTTGTCACTATCTATTCTAGATTGGGCAGGAAGAAAGCCATCATGTTGTCACTATCTATTCTAGAGTGGGCAGGAAGAAAGCCATCATGTTGTCACTATCTATTCTAGAGTGGGCAGGAAGAAAGCCATCATGTTGTCACTATCTATTCTAGAGTGGGCAGAAAGAAAGCCATCGTGTTGTCACTATCTATTCTAGAGTGGGCAGGAAGAAAGCCATCATGTTGTCACTATCTATTCTAGAGTGGGCAGGAAGAAAGCCATCATGTTGTCACTATCTATTCTAGAGTGGGCAGGAAGAAAGCCATCATGTTGTCACTATCTATTCTAGAGTAGGCAGGAAGAAAGCCATCATGTTGTCACTATCTATTCTAGAGTGGGCAGGAAGAAAGCCATCATGTTGTCACTATCTATTCTAGAGTGGGCAGGAAGAAAGCCATCATGTTGTCACTATCTATTCTAGAGTGGGCAGAAAGAAAGCCATCGTGTTGTCACTATCTATTCTAGAGTGGGCAGGAAGAAAGCCATCATGTTGTCACTATCTATTCTAGAGTGGGCAGAAAGAAAGCCATCATGTTGTCACTATCTATTCTAGAGTGGGCAGGAAGAAAGCCATCATGTTGTCACTATCTATTCTAGAGTGGGCAGGAAGAAAGCCATCATGTTGTCACTATCTATTCTAGAGTGGGCAGAAAGAAAGCCATCGTGTTGTCACTATCTATTCTAGAGTGGGCAGGAAGAAAGCCATCATGTTGTCACTATCTATTCTAGAGTGGGCAGGAAGAAAGCCATCGTGTTGTCACTATCTATTCTAGAGTGGGCAGGAAGAAAGCCATCATGTTGTCACTATCTATTCTAGAGTAGGCAGGAAGAAAGCCATCATGTTGTCACTATCTATTCTAGAGTGGGCAGAAAGAAAGCCATCGTGTTGTCACTATCTATTCTAGAGTGGGCAGGAAGAAAGCCATCATGTTGTCACTATCTATTCTAGAGTGGGCAGAAAGAAAGCCATCGTGTTGTCACTATCTATTCTAGAGTGGGCAGGAAGAAAGCCATCATGTTGTCACTATCTATTCTAGAGTGGGCAGGAAGAAAGCCATCATGTTGTCACTATCTATTCTAGAGTGGGCAGGAAGAAAGCCATCATGTTGTCACTATCTATTCTAGAGTGGGCAGGAAGAAAGCCATCATGTTGTCACTATCTATTCTAGAGTGGGCAGGAAGAAAGCCATCATGTTGTCACTATCTATTCTAGAGTGGGCAGGAAGAAAGCCATCATGTTGTCACTATCTATTCTAGAGTGGGCAGGAAGAAAGCCATCATGTTGTCACTATCTATTCTAGAGTGGTTAGGAAGAAAGCCATCATGTTGTCACTATCTATTCTAGAGTGGGCAGGAAGAAAGCCATCATGTTGTCACTATCTATTCTAGAGTGGGCAGGAAGAAAGCCATCATGTTGTCACTATCTATTCTAGAGTGGGCAGAAAGAAAGCCATCGTGTTGTCACTATCTATTCTAGAGTGGGCAGGAAGAAAGCCATCATGTTGTCACTATCTATTCTAGAGTGGGCAGGAAGAAAGCCATCATGTTGTCACTATCTATTCTAGAGTGGGCAGGAAGAAAGCCATCATGTTGTCACTATCTATTCTAGAGTGGGCAGGAAGAAAGCCATCATGTTGTCACTATCTATTCTAGAGTGGGCAGGAAGAAAGCCATCATGTTGTCACTATCTATTCTAGAGTGGTTAGGAAGAAAGCCATCATGTTGTCACTATCTATTCTAGAGTGGGCAGGAAGAAAGCCATCATGTTGTCACTATCTATACAGTTTGTCACCGCCCTGGCTATCTACCTGTCCCCCACCTACGAGATGATGATCGCCTTCAGAGGTTTGGCTGGTGTGGCGACACAAAGCCTGTTCGCGGTCAGCGCATCCACAGGTAAGACGTTTCAAATATTTTTTCTATAACTGCTGCGCTTACTAGATGAGGTCTTAAGTGCGATAAGATCAAGCTGACAGCCTCAAAATTGGTCGAATAACCAAAGCTAGCAGATGGGATCAAAGGCCCATAAGCGTATTGTCACAGTGACTAAACCAGTAACCGTATTGTCAGAATGACTAAAGTCCCAAAGCCAAATTGTCATGTCAGTAAAGGCGATAACGAAGTCGTATTTTGACTGATTGTTTAATTACCTATGGTCAACCGGAAACAAGGAGTATAGGTTCAAGCTACAGCCATGATTATCATGGCAACAAAGGTTACAGAGAAGGCTGCGCAACTCGCTAATTTAACTTTACAAATCGGCGTTTTCGCATATCCCCCCCCCCCCCCATAGTCCCCCAAAAGCTTCGTAGACTCTGCCACATTAGGAAGTTTTAAGTACTGGTGGGTGGGATGATTTTGTCCAGACAGGTTTTGAAATTTCGAACTTTTTCAAGTTATGTTGAGGACAGTGTCGCCGTGTCTTTCATGACGCTACCCCTGCCGCCCCCACCCCCCCCCCCCACACTCCTGAAGTTGCCCAAGCATGAGAGGCAGTTGGTGTGGGGCCCAGGACACGTTTGACTTATGACGTGTTCGTTCAATTTGTCGCAGGGGTTAGACTCATTCCTCACAGATGAAACATGTCGCATTTCCCGACTCATTTGTTTATTTAGTTCATTGGACTAATATTTGTACAATGTTTCCCAGGTATAGAGCTAGTCGGGCCGACGAAGCGAACATTCACAGGTGTTGTTGTGGAGATGTACTGGTGTGCAGGTATTTTCCTGCTGCTGCCAGTGGCCTTCGTCTTGCGAGACTGGAGGAACATCCAGCTCTTTCTGTGTCTCATCACCATCCCGCTCTTCTCCATGTGGTGGTACGTCACACTTGTTTATCTATGGAGTCATGTCTTAGAGATTTCCGTGGGTGCTACGTCATTATTTTCTGTTGATGTGGTGTGTTATCTTTATGGTTTTGCTATGTGTTGTGTTACGCATTTATTTTGCGTAGTGCATTTTTTTTGTGTATTTTCATAGTGGGCCCTTACGGTTTTTTTTGTATATAGGTATTATAATTGCATCGTTTTGTTTACATAAAGTCAGTTAATTACTTATCTAAACCATTTATAAAGAACGGGAATTCAAATTTCAATTCATTGAGAAAAACAAAATAACTCTTCGCCTTGGCGTTTAAAAAAAATATTTGAGACTATAATATTGTGTCAGCATTAAAAAATAAATAAAATCACAATATAAACCGAACTATGAAATAGCCTTTGTATAACTGTCAACTAATGCTGTAAACTATTACTGCTTTAGTTTTTAAAATAGACATTTGTTAAACCCCCAGGTTGATCCCCGAATCTCCAAGATGGCTGCTAGACAAACAGAAGTTCTCTGAGGCTCGGCAGGTCTTGGAGCGGATCTGCCAGTCCAACAAGACCAAACTGCCTCGTGACGCCATCGACGCTGAGACGGCTAGCGAGGGCCCGCAGGGGAAAATCTGGCAGATGTTCACACACAGGGTCCTCATCATCCGCACGCTCATCATTTTCTTTAACTGGTGGGTCCAGCTCTGGTTATTGCATGCTTAGCTCCAATAATTGCAAGCTTAACTCCGATAGTTGCAAACTTAGCTCTGATATTTGCAGGCTTAGCTCTTAAAGTTGCTGAAAGTTGCAAAGATAGCTCTGAAAGTTGCTGAAAATAGCAAGCTTCGCTCTGAACGTTGCAAGCTTAGCTCTAAAAGTAACAGCTCAGCTCTAAAAGTTGCAGCCATAGCTCTAAAAAGTAATTGCAAGCTCAGCTCTGAAAGCTGTAAACTTAGCTCTGAAAGTTGCAAGCTTTGCTCTGAAAGTTGCTGAAAGTTGAAAACTTAGCTCTGAAAGTTGTAAGCTCAGCTCTGAAAGATGCAAACTTAGCTCTAAAAGTTGCAAAATTAGCTTCGAAAGTTACTGAAAGTAGCAAGCTTAACCCTGAACGTTGCAAGTTTAGCTTAGCAAAATAATTATCGTCTATTATCCATATCTAATATAACCTAACCTAAACCTCCTCACCTACAGGTTAGCCGTTAACCTGCTGTACTACGGGTTAAGTCTCAACCTGGACAACCTGGCAGGGTCCTCCTACTTCAACTACCTCATCGGCACCCTGGTGGAGTTTGTCGCTTACGTCATCTGTCTTCTGCTGCTGGACAGGACAGGACGGAAGAAGCTGCACTGTATTTGTATGTTCACAGGCGCGGCCGCCTGTCTGGCTGTCATGATACCTGTCACGTTTGCTGGTCAAAGTAGGTCACCGGGGGGGGGGGGGGGTATACTTAATTAGACTGGACGTCCGGAAGTTAGGGGACGTTGTGGTAAATGAGGGAGGGATTTGGCTAATGTAGTTACTTGATGGTAGGATAAAAGTTAGGGTCATGTAATGGATGAGGAAGGTGTGTGAGGTAGTCGAGCACATAGGTTCATTTGACATTTCTAGTTGGGTACCCTGGCTAAAGTTCTCATGTCGTTACTAAGTGAACTCAGCTCTAATGGGTACTTGGCTCTAATTGGGAAAGCCTCGCTGACACAATCGTGAACTGAACAAAACAAAAACACAAGAGCATCCGGTCAAATATACAGTCTTCGTCTACAGTCTGTTGATCACGTCTTTCCCTCCCCCCCCCCCCCCCCGCCTGACACTGACTAGCATTACGTCTGCCGCAGGTCACCAATGGATAGCCACGTGTCTTTCAATGGTGGGCAAGCTCAGCGCTTCCGGCTGCTACGCCATCTTGTACATAATGTCTGCAGAACTGTTTCCAACCGTCATGAGGAACTCTGGCATTGGATGCTGTTCTATATTTGAAAGTCTTGGAGGCATGATCTCCCCTTATATTGCTGATATGGTAAGAGCAGTGTCTGTGTCTCTATGACTCCTGTATTATTGTATCTCTGTTGTATCATTATAATCAGAGTTTCTTTCAGTCATTTTTTCAAGGTCGTTGGGACCTGAATCTTTTAGGTGGCGGCGGAAATTGGTTAAAGTATATGTTTTCTAAATAAACTATACATTTTCCTAGTTTGTTGGGGGCGTGGAATTGGGGGGGGGGGGGGGGAGGAGGTGAGGAAGAAGGGCTAAGAGCAGTTAAAGAATATTGGATTACTAAGGGTTTAAAAAAATGTAATTTAGTCTTTTAAGTAGAGTATAACTTCTAATCTAAGTAAATTGTATTAGTTTTATCAACTTGTTATATTAATATTACTTAAAAGTCATGTTTAATTCATACTTTCACGTCCACTTTTTGCCAATTAATGTTTCCCTCTCCCCAGGGTTTGATGATAGGCGGGGCCTTTGCTCAAGGTTTGCCAATGGTCGTGTTTGGCACTGTCAGCGTTTTAGCTGGTTTCCTCTCCTTAGCGTTGCCAGAGACCCTACACAGAACGCTTCCAGAGTCTATACAGGACGCTATAGATTTTGACAAGTGAGACATTATACCCGTGGTTCAATCTGTTGTCCATGTTTATCTTATACTACTATCTAGATAGGATGCTGAGTTAAATTGTTGAGTAAAATAATTTGTTTTGTTTCCCAGGCAACCAAAATCCTCTAAAAATGGCGTCGGTCAGACAAATGGATTCAAACATCCGGAAGTTGAGCTGGAGCTGGTGGTACCGTTGACCAAAGTGTGAACTTCCGTTTTTTTTTACATTTGCATATGTCAATCATCTTCGTTAAACATTTAACCAATCAGAGTTGCGTTTAGTTCAGTTGATTATTATATTGGTGTTTTGATATTTTGAGTATCATATCAAAATGTTGGACAATAGTCCATTGTGTTGGTTGTAGATGTCATAAAGTAAGGTGGACAGTACTCATATCTATCTTTGAACGGGACCTGCCGGCTGGGCATAGTACTGACCACACTATTCTTAAATATGCTGAGGTTACTTAAAAGACATGAACTCTACTTCATCTACTCTACCCACCGAATAGCGTAAAAGAAAAGACAGTGTATCTTTGGGAGAGGGGGATGAACAAGATCAGACATGCGTACAAGACAAGCACAATGTCAGGGCCATAGGTGCTTGGGAAATTCTGCATAATAGCATAATAATAATAATAGCTATCAAATGGGGGCCATCGAATTGGGCCATCGGATACGGACGTTAATTAGGCCAATCGAATTAGGCCATCGAATGGGGCCATCAAAAAGGGCCCATCGTGGGGCCATCGAGGAGTAGGGCCCTCAGGAGGGGCCATCACTTTAAATGCAGCTATCAGACCAGGCCATAGAATAAACGGAGCTATCAGCCGTCAAATTGAGCCTTAAGATGGAGCTAAGGGAGCTAACCAGTGAGGGGACGCGTGGTCTAGGGCTAGAACATGCGCCTACAAACCCGAAACTCGTGAGTTTGATACGCTGGTCATCCCTCGACCAAAATCCCCTTACCCCCACCCCACTTATGCAAACCATATTGTATAAAGCCCGGGGTTAGGAAGTAGTGGAAACCCACGGGTCTAGCAGCTGACAACCAGGTGTAACCCACGGGTCTAGTGTCTGACAACCCACGGGTCTAGCAGCTGACAACCAGGTATAAACTACGGGTCTAGCGACTATCAAACCACCAGTGAGCCTTATTCTCGATTATCAAATGATTCGCTTGCCCGGTTTAAGTATAGCTTAAGGTAGTTATGTCCCTTTAAGATAGATTCAAAGTTAAAATCACACCGGTTTACATATACAAAAAATTAATTTGTTTCTATAAAAAAATATCTCTCTGTAAAGAATAAAATCATTTATTGGAAAACAATCAGAAAGCTAAAAATAGCCCCAAAAACTGCAACCTCTCAAACTAGGTATTTAAAGACCACTGTATTACTAAAACCTTAATTTAGCTTCAGAAATCGCGTGCTTGCCAAGGTCAGGTTTGAGTAAGATAATTCTATATCATTTCTGTAACTGCAGTTGTAGCTTCAGGAGTGTTTGGTTGTGAGGAGGATGCTGTATAATTTACGTACCTCGTTCAGTACAGGACGGCAAGCATATCATTTTCTTTGACGTCAACAATATTGACGTGGATTAGACAATTGTGTGTGACGTCTTACAAACAATGGAGTGAATTGTCATTTTGTTTGACGTCTTCTCATCACGGAGTATGTGGTCAGACATTGGTTGTTCAATTTACTTGACGTCTCCTGGTCATGAAGTTAATGGTCAGACATGAATTCAGCGAAATTATCATAATAAATATTTCTTGAGATGACGATATAAATTAAAATCTTGACCTCTACATCATTAATATAAACTAAAACACGAATTAAAGTGTTTTGTGGTGGAGCGAGAGTTTTTTGTATTATTTTTTTTGCGCCATTGTTTGTGTTTATGTTTGCGTTTATGTTTGTGTTTTCATTGCTTGCTTTTATGTTTTCGTTTATGTTTCCGTTACCGTTATTGTTTGCGTGTATGTTTGCGTTTGATTTTGTGTTTATGTTTGCGTTTATGTTTCCGTTATCGTTATTGTTTCCGTTTATTTTTGCGTTTTTGTTTGTGTTTATGTTTGCGTGCTAGCACACTATTAATCTCCAATGTTCCAGCAAACTACTAATTAACAAAAGTACAAGAAGCTGAGTACTCATTATCGCATATCCTCATCAGCTTGCCTACCTCAAGAGTACAAGAGGCGCAATACACAACATCTCAGCAGTTATTATCATGGTGATGTGTACGGCTTAATTTATATAATCGTTGAGAGTTTGTGTGGACTGCTAAAAATACGACACCACGTGATCAGGTGACATCCGGGTTTGACTACGTTCACAAGTACCTTGCTGGTTGTCAGGATTTGTAAGTTTTAATGAATAGTTTGCTAATTATTTTTTGTAAAACAATATTTTTTAAATTAATACATATATATATTTAAAGTTTAAGCTCAGAATGAATAAAATGTCTGAATTCTGAAGACTCCAATAAAAATAGATTTAATTGACTCATAACGCTTTAAAAAAAAAGTTTATTTTAATTTTATTTATAGTGCATTGAAAAGCTATTTATTCTAAATGTTTTATACTGATTTCTTTTATAGAAACGAAACCCGAGTTGATAGTAAATAAATACCAGATGGCTCTCGGCAGTTATTAGTGCTTGCTTTGAGATGAAGTGTATTGCGGCATTAGCTTAAAGCAAATAATCAGATTATCCGAACATTGACAGTAATGTTGTAAGATAGTATCTATGCAGCGTATGACATTCAAATGTGGCTTAAAATAAAACAAGTTTGGCGGAGCAAACAGATCACGTGACTTGGAACCACATCAAAACTGCACTGGTCTAGTCCATGGCCTGTCTATTTTAATCTAGTTCATACAAAACGTGCCTACACATAGACAAAGGGCTGCAAAAAACGTGTTTATTTTCATGTTTAATCAAATCTGTAGTCTTTTCCTTTCCCCTCTTCCATAAAGGTGTCTACATAGTCGTCTAATCTCAAGTCTAAAATGATGTCTACGTTTGCTTCTAATCTCAATTAAAAATTATGTCTACTTTACGTCTAATCTTAATACATTTTTCTTTCTATTTTGCGTCTAATCTCAATTTAAAAAAGTGCTTATAATAGTGTGGAATAATAGTAGGACCCCTACTTTATTTAGACAATTTTTATTAATTCAGAAAAAAGAATTAGGCATCTAATTAAGTCAGTTTTGATGTCAGATTGCATTGTTATCGGGTCTTGAAACAAGTGCGAATCGGTCAGTTACAAGTGCTCGAAATTTCTCTCGGCAGTTTCGATCTATGACGGAAGACAGACAGACGGTAGAAAAGTGACAGACAGAGAAAGCAAGTCTATAACCATGCCTATTTTACATGTCATCAAATCTAGTAAAAAAATGTTGAAGAAAAAAAATATCCTCTTAATACCATTTTCATCCACACTCTCCACATAATAAGCGCTCAGAAGGAGAAAATTTTGAAATAAATTGGACCATAATTTCGGGGATTTTTTTTAAGTACCCTGCTTTGTGGAATGTTACGAAACCGGGGAATGTACATCGTTAATTCTAAAAATGTCTGGCGCGGTTCTTGACTGCACAGTCAATAATTCCAGCTGGTAGCCCCAGGCAGCTTTCCGTGTCCTGACATTTTAATATCGGCGGTTCAAAACTTTTATCATTGAGGCAACTTTCTGTGTCCTGACATTTTAATATCGGCGGTTCAAAACTTTTATCATTGAGGCAACTTTCCGTGTCTTGACATTTTAATATCGGCGGTTCAAAACTTTTATCATTGAGGCAACTTTCCGTGTCCTGACATTTTAATATCGGCGGTTCAAAACTTTTATCATTGAGGCAACTTTCTGTGTCCTGACATTTTAATATCGGCGGTTCAAAACTTTTATCATTGAGGCAACTTTCCGTGTACTGACATTTTAATATCGGCGGTTCAAAACTTTTATCATCGAGACAACTTTCTGTGTCCTGACATTTTAATATCGGCGGTTCAAAACTTTTATCATTGAGGCAACTTTCCGTGTCTTGACATTTTAATATCGGCGGTTCAAAACTTTTATCATTGAGGCAACTTTCTGTGTCCTGACATTTTAATATCGGCGGTTCAAAACTTTTATCATTGAGGCAACTTTCTGTGTCCTGACATTTTAATATCGGCGGTTCAAAACTTTTATAATTGAGACTAGTTTTTAAATTTTATTTGTATAATGTCAAAAGGGGTGGGACGAGTGGCGGGGCATTAGATCTATACATTAAAAGTGATGAGGTTCGGTTCAAGTGTTTTAGATTTAGGGTTGGGTCTTTGTCCTTCTAAAGTTGATTGCTAAGAATGTTAAGGAGTGGGGGGGGGGGGGGGGGAATAGTTGTGAATGGGCATCGCATCAACGATACATAACTTTAAGAATCGTATCGTCCTCAATGCACTATGCATATGCAGGTCTATAATTTAAAAAAAAAATATTTTAAGCTGTCAAAAAATGTCAACATAAAATTCAACAAGAACCTTAAAGCAAGACAACTCAGTCAAACATGAGAAGAGGAGCTCGGCTATACAGAATCCTTTTAGCTGCGTGTACAATTTGAGAATGGCTGACAAAAGTGCTACTGTCAGGCTTTACCAATATGCGAACAAATATTTGTAAATATCGCTTTTCTTTATTGCGTAATCAGAGCGTTTAACATCTGAAGTAGGAGCCAACGTCAATATTTGGGAAAAAAAATGGGCGATGAAAAGATGGAATAACACACTGAAAACGTATAAATAAATTTAAAAAAAGTCCTAAATAAAATAAATAAATGAATAAATAAATAAATATAGGCCTACATAATAATATATATGCATATATATATATATATATATACATACATACATACATACATACATACATATATATATATATATATATATATATATATATATATATATATATATATGTATAGACTATACACATATATTATAAAGTAAATACTGTGAACGTACTCGAAGATTATCACGTGATGTCAGTGGTCATACAAACGGCTTGTTTTAACCATTAGAAGAAGTGATTTTTTTTTTCGTTGCCTGTGTCCTCGCCATTTTGTTCGTGTAGTGAAGGAAAAAATAACTCCTGATAGAGAAGATCATGCCATCAAGCTGAACTGATTACCGCCCACGTCCGAATTTTGTTCACTAATGGTCTCGACAGGGAGATCACCTCTGCACAAAACAGCAAAAGGCCAGTTGCTTCCCTTGACCTTTATACGACTTCGCTGACTCGCTGAATTACCTCCCTTAACGTTGGTTTACACAAGCATCTCTCCCCTACTTTAGATGTCGCGTAAATTAAATGTAGAAACTAATTTTATTTTCTAGAAAAATCTGAGAAATTGTATATGCTTAAAGTGCTAATTATTAATTACTATTGAAAACTTAAAAAGGATATCGCACACACGTACGTTTATACACACACAGTGCATATATATATATATATATATATATATATATATATACAAACATATATATATACAGTCTATACGTATACGAATTGAAAACAAAAGAAACTGAACGACAATAGAGTGAGTCAACGCGAATGTTGTCTAGATGACAACCAGGAAGTTGTCGTTACATCCTCGTCTGCCAGTTAGATGACGTCGCCATGTTAAATCTGTAGCCTATGGGTGACGTCACACCGATCGTCTGGTAAATGTCAAAACTTAGCGAGGATTGAGCTTGATGCTTGCTAGGACCACTTAGATAACGGTAAATTACAGCTTTAAAAACATACTAGAAGACAGGTGTTTGATGGTAGCTCATCTTTTATGACATCTTAGATGACATTTTAGATGACATTTTAGATGACATTTCAGATGACATCTTAGATGACATCTTAGATGACATTTTAGATAACATCTTTTATGACATCTTAGATGACATTTTAGATAACATCTTAGATGACGTTTTAGATGACATTTTAGATGACATTTTAGATGACATTTTAGATGACATCTTAGATGACATCTTAGATGACATTTTATATGACATTTTAGATGACATCTTAGATGACATCTTAGATGACATCTTAGATGACATCTAAGATGACATTACATCTCATGTGGCAACACATGTTATATGACAACTCATTGCAGTTACATCACATGTTAGATGACATCACATCCCAGGTGATAGCACGTCTTAGATGCCAATATATCTTAGATGGCAAAATCACTTTTAAAAACACTTTTTAAATGACATCACATCCTAGATCATGACAATATATCTTAGATGACAACATATCCCAGATGACATCAAAACACAGATAACAACACATTTTACAGGACAACACAGCGTATATGACACATGTTATATGACAACTCATCGCAGTAATTTCACACGTTAGAGATGACAACACATCTTAGCTGACCTCCTTATTATTCAACAACATAAATGACCACATGAACTGACCACATGAACTGACCACATGAACTGACCACATGAACTGACCACATGAACTGACCACATGAACTGACCACATGAACTGACGACATTAACTGACCACATTAACTGACCACATGAACTGACCACATGAACTGACCACATGAACTGACCACATGAACTGACCACATGAACTGACCACATGAACTGACCACATGAACTGACGACATTAACTGACCACATTAACTGACCACATTAACTGACCACATTAACTGACGCCGTAAGCTGACAACATAGTTGTCAAAAGACATTAGCTTATGACAACATCTGATATCTCACATTAGCTAAGTCCACGGATTAACAAAATTTTTTCTCAAAAAAAAAAAAACAAATAAAAAATTCAGTGGGAAAAACCCACAAACAGAACTTAAAATTGAAGGGGAAAAATCAACAATGGAACGTGTAGCCTAGTTTTTCGATAACTCGGCCATCCCAGAAGCCACTTCCAGTCACCGATCTTATAAATGGCTTCTAGCGTGAGGGGTTTGTGTGTGGGGGAGGGAAAGATGAGACGGAGTGTGGGAGGGGAGGGGAGGTGGTAGGAGGGGGTAATGAAACAGAATACCCAGGTGGTAGGAGGGGGGGGGGGGGTAATGAAACAGAATACCCGCCAATCTGAAATGTCCAAGTGTCAGGGTTAATTCTATGCCTTTTGACTCGCTCGCAGACGACTTCCCAGCAGACGAACTTTGAGCAGACGTTGAGTTCTTTCCTGTAGATCCAGAGCGAGGTCTAGTCTTTAATTATGTCTTTATTAATGTCCTATTTAGAGATAATTAACCCCACTCCAGTAAGTTTTCATTACGTTCAATAAACAAAATCAAAATAAATTTTACCGTCATTTGAGATTGCCAACGCAATTAACAGCCAGTTATAAATATCTTCTCCTTTGTAGTTCAATACACCTAAAAAATTAGACATTTTTAATGTCCTTGGTAGGTATTATTTCAGTGTACACAAAATTTGCGATAAAAAAAAATTGCAATGTGTAAGTTGCGGTGTTGAACGCCAAAAGTTCAAGTAGTTGAATGCTGACTGTTGTGAGACTTAGTGAGACCGACAGCAAACAGTTCAAAGTGAGACCGGCATCAAACAGATCAAAGTGAGACTGTGGCAAGAAAGTTCGTGGTATGGCCGTCACTAGATAGGTGAATTGGAGGCTAGCAATAAAAAAACATGAAGTGAGACTTTTTGACTGACAGTGAGATCTCCAAGTCAAAGTGAAACTTTTGACTCACACTGATCACATAGAGCTGACTGACAAGACAAAAAATGAAAGTGAGACCATAGACTAACAGTAAGATATGTCTGTGAGACTTAAAAAAAAGCTAACAGTGAAACTCACTGAATGACTGTGAGATCATCAAGTCATAGTGAAACTGTTGATTCTCAAACAAAACTTAACACGGCTGACTGTGAGACTCTCATGGTGAGATCGTTGGCTCACAGTGAGACCGTTACAGTGAGACTGTCACAGTGAGACCATTGACTCACAGTGAGACTGTCAAAGTGAGACTGTCAAAGTGAGACTGTCACAGTGAGACTGTCACAATGAGACCATTGGCTCACAGTGAGACCATTGACTCACAGTGAGACTGTCTAAGTGAGGCTGTCAAAGTGAGACTGTCTAAGTGAGACGGTCACAGTGAGACTGTCTAAGTGAGACTGTCAAAGTGAGACTGTCTAAGTGAGACGGTCAAAGTGAGACTGTCACAGTGAGACTGTCTAAGTGAGACCATTGGCTCACAGTGAGACCATTGACTCACAGTGAGACTGTCTAAGTGAGGCTGTCAAAGTGAGACTGTCTAAGTGAGACGGTCACAGTGAGACTGTCTAAGTGAGACTGTCAAAGTGAGACTGTCTAAGTGAGACGGTCAAAGTGAGACTGTCACAGTGAGACTGTCTAAGTGAGACCATTGGCTCACAGTGAGACCATTGACTCACAGTGAGACTGTCTAAGTGAGGCTGTCAAAGTGAGACTGTCTAAGTGAGACGGTCACAGTGAGACTGTCACAGTGAGACCGTCACAATGAGACCATTGACTCACGATGAGACCATCAGCCGAGGCTGAACGCCAGACCCGATTACAGCCCGCTGGAAGCTCACGCCGTTCCCCCGTGCCCCACCCCACCGCCAGTTCCTCTGTCGCGTGCCACACAGTTCGATACTTGGGCAGCGAGTGCACGTGGAGACACGCTCGTGCTACACGATCGTCTGCTCACTCTGGTCAAAACCGTCTGCTCTGTGATCGCTTGTGGATCAAGGATTAACCGTGACAGCTACACCATCAGAGGAATTTGTTTTTCTCGTGTTCGTTCGCTCAGCTCACCCAAACACACCGTGTTAACACAGGGTCACTTTAACACACGGACCTCACCCCCCAGACGTAAGAAGCGTCGTACGGGGGCTACACATTCGGATCCTGTGTGCTCGGCTGATGTGAGGGTCGGCATTGTGTTTGAGACAGTGACCGCTCGTGGTGAATAGATAATTAGCCAAGCGTGTTGATTACGTGATTGGATTCGATTTTATGGCCGTCTAGAGAGACATCTACATCAGAACTGTGAGTACAGTTTATTTTGGGTGTGAGAAATTTGTGTTTCTGTGTGTTGTGTGTGGAGGGGGAGGGTGGGGGTACTGGGGGGATGTACAATATGTTTTTAAAGCTTCCCAACGCCAAGAGCCAACAGCTCAACAACGTGGTAGTGTTAACAGTTTTGTTGTTTAGCCAGGGCTTAATCTAAATGTTTATTTTTTAGAACATTCATGAATCGTTTGAATGTCATGACACGCCCTATCTTCAAATGACATGCTACGACATGACTTCATATAACCAAATATAAAATAACATGACATTGCGTCCTATATTTGTAATAACATGAAAGTCCGTAGTTTATTTGAAGGTGCATGTAGAAGCATTCGGGTGGAGTTGTTTGGTTGGGTGTGGTGCGCTGTGGTTGGGTACAATGTGATGTGTACTTATGTGTAATGGGGTGAGTATGAGCGTGTAGTGGTGTGTGTGTGGGTATAAAGGGGTGCATGTGTGTATATTGGGGTGTGTACTAGGGATGTGTATGTACTGGGGTATGTTTGTGTACTGGGATGTGTATGTGTGTACTGAGGTATGCATGTGTTGGTGGGGCGTTTATGTATGTACTGGTGTATGTATGTGTGTAGAGGGGTATTTACATGCGTGTATTCGGGTGTTTATGTAATGAGATGTGTATGTGCGTGTATTCGGGTGTGTATGTGCGTGTATTCGGGTGTGTATGTGCGTGTATTCGGGTGTGTATGTGTGTGTACCGAGGTGTGTATCTACATGTACTACAGTGTAGTTGATGGTGTAGTGAGCTGTGTTGGCAGAGCAGGAGTGGATCAATACACTGAGGTGGGGTGGGGAAGTTGGGGATGGGTGGGGAAGTTGGGGATGGTTGGGGAGGGGTGGGGATGGTTGATTAAGGTTGGGGATGGGTAGGGCATGATCAGGACCAAACAATATATTAAACGCAACCAACAACCATCCAAATGGTGAACACGTTGAGATCGAATGTAGACAACGACAAGGGGCGTGACAACAGTTATATACAGATCTATAGAATAGCTATAAGAAGAGCATGACTACAGCATTTAGCTCACGTAGACAAAAAACCAGACGACATCTGCTGTCCTGACATCCCCACCTGTGACCGCACAATTAGTTTTACTCACCTGCGTTATCTACCTGTTGTGTTTTATCTACCTGATGCACGTGTGGCTAGATGTGCTCACCTGTTTTACATGCGCTCACACTGAATGCTTGTCTATACTGTTTAAAATATGGTCACATGACCCATGAGCGGTCACATGACCCATGAGTGGTCACATGACCTACGGGTAGTCACACTGAATGCTTGTCTATACTGTTTAATGTGATTATAATATCTACCTATAGTCACATGACCTACGAGGGATCACATGACCTACGAGTAATCACAGTCTACCTGTGGTCACTCAACTTACCTTTGACCACTTATCTACATACATGCATATTTGTATTCAGTCCTATCTCAACATCACGCTCACTAGTAGATTGTACACCATTTAAAAAACCGGCTCTTGTTAAATGTTATTTTATGTGTTATGTGTTTAGCCATGAATTTCTTTTTTATTGAAAATTTACTTTTTTTTTAAATAAATATTTTGTTTTGCTGTTGGGGTAAAAAAAAAGAATGTTTGTACAGTTTATTAAAGTATAAAAACTTGAATGACAAAACATATCCAATGTTTTTACTTACTTTTATGTTGGTTGGATGCGAATTTTGATGAAAGATTGTGAATGTTAAAAGAATGTCTGCATAATGTGTTGCTGATGATCTCATGCATAATTTGATGTTGTTATGCACGCCGGCGTCCGCGTTGTTTATTTGTTCAACGCGATGACGTCATTCAAATTAAAATGTAGTTGTTACGTAAATAATCAAAGAATTCATCATTTCATTTGTTATTCCATCCACGTCCAGATGAGTTGCTTTCATCCCCCCCGCCCAAAGCAAAAGTGGTTTATTTTGTCTTTCCCTTTCTCCAAGTTTCTACACTCGAGAAACAACTCAAAACACTTGGTGTTTACATGTCTAACTTGTTGCCTCTTTTGATGAACATTTTTTTTACAAACTTTTATTTATTTCGCAGTCTGTTTGTTTGTGGATTTGTGGTAAATTTTATAACTTGATCCACTTCTAATGAAGTTTTCCAGATACTTTATTCTTTGATGACAATGCAAGAATATAATTTTTTTTTATCTAATTAGTTAGATGCTCAATTGTCGTTAAAAATAAATGAACCGGGTTCAAAACTAAGGGGAGATAACAAGATAAAATCCTAGCGATCTATCAGCTACCCGGCGAGGTTGAATTGTTTGTCACCGTTAGATGATTTTTCGCCTTAGCGCCGAACTAAGTAGAGGCAAACAAAGAGATTTGAAGCTACTGGTCAATTTTTTAAAGCAAATATTTTTAGCCGGAGCCTATGCAATATGTAGTGTCACCTTCATTTCGAACGAATGACTGAAAAGTGGAAAATAAAACAAATACAAAAAACCTTTATAGCAACAAGCGTAAAAAAGCACAGAAAATAAGAAAATAAAAAACGTGATTTCTGTAATAAAAGTTTTTGTCGCTAAAATATGTAAGAGATCTCAAGAGCGAGCTAAGCTTTTATTAAAGAATGCAAATTTGTTTTATTTTATTTTCTTATTTTCAGTGCTCTAAACAGATTGTTATTTATATATGTTTTTATATTTCCCCGGACAATACCAGTGGTATTGTTTTGTAATATTCTGATTTTTGTAGGTGTTGTGGGTTTGAGAGAATTTGAGTTTAATACTAGAAATAAATATGGGCATAGCATTTTTGAGGATAATTGATCGAATCATCACGGTAAACTTTTAAAGTGTACATTTTTTAATGGAAAAAAGTTAACAGTTTTCTGTTTAGACGTAAAGTCAAAATAATTATTTTATAATTTACCAAGTATGAGCAATAACCACAAAATATAAGATAAATTTAATATATACATTTAGTAAATTAATAGATAATGAATTAGATGTTACCAAATAATTTTTCTTTATTGTTTTCAACTCTAAAGAGCATTGTTGTAGGTTCCTTCCCTTTAATAATTTTAGTTATAAATGGGAAGTAACTAATATACATTTTTAAAGGTTTCTCAGGTACAGCTATAGTATGTTAATTTTTCAAATTTGTATCAAAGCAAAGATGCAAGGACATTCAATTTTGATATTACATATTAAAAGAAATATAAAGCTGGATTTAGAGCGCTCCACTCGCCCCAACATCGCATTTAGTGCCGCTCCTGTACATTGTAGATTCCTGTGAAACTTTTCGTGCCAGCCATAAGACTATTCTGTGCATGGTGTTTCATGTATGATGTGTGTGTTTATGTATGTTTTTATGTATGATGTATTGGTGTATGTGTTTGTCTATGATGTGTTTGTACATGATGTATAAGTGTATCTGTTTGTGTATAATGTACGCGTGTATGTGTTTGTGTATTATTGTATGTGTATGATGTGGTTGTACATGATGTATAAGTTTATGCGTTTATGTATGATATATTAGTATTATGTGTTTGTGTTTGATGTATTAGTGTTTGTTTTATGGTATGATGTGTTTGTGTACGAAATATAGGTGTATGACATGTTTGTGTATGATGTGTTGGTGCATGATGCGCTGACGCAAGATGTGTAGTAGCATGCTGTAACAGCACATGATGTGTAGTAGCATGCTGTAACAGCACATGATGTGTAGTAGCATGCTGTAACAGCATATGATGTGTAGTTGCATGCTGTAACAACACATGATGTGTAGTAGCATGCTGTAACAGCACAAGATGTGTAGTAGCATGCTGTAACAGCACATGATGTGTAGTAGCATGCTGTAACAGCACATGATGTGTAGTAGCATGCTGTAACAGCATATGATGTGTAGTTGCATGCTGTAACAACACATGATGTGTAGTAGCATGCTGTAACAGCACATGATGTGTAGTAGCGTGCTGTAACAGCACAAGATGTGTAGTAGCATGCTGTATCAGCACACGACACGTTGATGTGTGTCGACCCACTGACTACATAGTACAGATCAGGTGGCGATATTTCCCGGTCATCGATTATTGATCGACAGATCAGCTGACAAATGCGTTGAATTACAAACTGCAGCCATTGATTAGTATGTAATCAGCCTGCACCAGAGCATTACTTGGTCATAGTAAAAAACATCGAGTCGATTGCCAGAGAATGGAATCGACCTGTGAATGATGTGTGATGTACAATGTATGATGTGTGATTATTATGTGTTATGTATTATATACGATGGGTGACCTTGATGTATGATGTATGATGTATGATGTATGATGTATGATGTATGATGTATGATGTATGCTGTATGATGTATGATGTATGATGTATGATGTATGATGTATGATGTATGATATAGATGTATGATGAGAGAACACTTAACAATATGGTGTCTTATGCATGAACACAATATATTATAAACATACGTGTACAATGACTGACCATCTGATGGGACATGACTGACTATCTGGGAAATGACTGACCATATGATGGGACATGAATGACTATCTGATGGGACGTTACTGACCATCTGATGGTACATGATAAACAAACTTAATCACGTGATACCCCCTGTATCGGTTGGGACTCGCGTCTGACACACACCCTAAAGTTAATTACCACGAGTTAATTAATTCAGTCTATTCACGGGCCGCGCCATATGCTACAAGTAGGGTCGTCACGTGCCATCATAAAGATAATCTCAGTCAGACCTGGCAGAAATCAATACAACTCACTCAACGACTTGCTCCTCATTAACACGAGACAAAGAAAAAAACACACACTCAATGCAAGCCCAACGCCCCTTGGCTTCGGTCGGCCATCTTGTTTCCGGTTCTAGATGAAGCTGGTGACAAATGGTCGTAGAACTTGCCCCCCCCCCGCCCCTCCAGCAGATAACACGCCCCGAGGGTCCGTCTCTTTTTATTTGTTAT